TTCTCCCTCCCCAGTAGCCAGTCCCAGTTGTCACTTCAAAAGGATCATCGCTGATCAAAAAAGCTTTTCAAACAGCTATTCTTCTGAACATCTGGAATTTCACCTATAATGCAAATTGCATCTGGAATTTCACCTATCAGCATCGATTGATCCAGAAGTCGTAACAGCATTCCCATTGAAAATGGTAATGGTCCTCTTCTCGTTAGAACAGAACCATGTAAGTTAGCTACAGCGTGAAAGATTCCATCACAGCACATCAAACATAGCGTGGTGAGCAATATTCTAACCGTGGTCAGTGTAAAAAACCGCCACATCTCCCCGGTGGGACAATAACCGATTAACATCCAATTCCAGCTCCGACGGCAACGCTATCAACCATTACCCCCGCTGAATGTTCAGCCAGACCAGCCGCCGTCATTTCCGAAGCCGGAGAGGAGGAGGACGTTTAAGTGCTACCAATGTTCCGGTGATTGCGATCCTCGTCCGGACTTCAAACCCATCAACGATCCATCGAACGAAATCGAAGTGAAAACCAGTACGGAAAACGAAGAACAAATCAAGCTGATAGATTATCTTCGTCGTCTTTCTCTTTGCATTCCCACGGCCATGTTAAGACCAAGTATATGATCGTCATGAGACGTGATCAAGATCGCTGCCAATCACTCGATATCGTCAGCGCTGTTCATAAAACAGATGGAGACGAACGACAAATTCTACACCTGGGCCGCTATGGACTTAGCCAACGAGAAACCGCTCTACTTTATCACGGTGGTGTATCGCAGAGACGGGACCGTATCACGATCATCCGGAAGGCACAGCAGAAGCACCAGAAGAGGAAGGATGGATGTCCACCGTCAGTAGAACGGCACAGTTATAATTCAGAGCTCGGTTCGCAGTTTCATCCAGCGGCAGTTTGCCAAGCCATCGGAACGGGATTGCTTCGACGAGTATTGTAGTACGTGTGGGATACGTAATTTGGCGGATTTTGAGTATCTGGTCATACACATCGAGTGTATGGCAGCTAGGTAGCAATAGGTTCCGTTCACGTTCACAGTTGGTAATGGTTGAACGAAGGTTATTAAGCAGAGATGATGCAGGATAATCAAATCAATCAATTTAAGTGTCTCCGAGTTTCGCTGAGTTATTGAGTTCTGCAAGCATGTTTTTGTTATTGTTGTTTTGATTGACAGCAGCTTTTCGACTTCGCATGAAGGTGCACCTTCATATGTTGCTGTGATGCGAAAAGTGAGAAGCAAATGACAGTGATCTTTCTCACTGAGCAATGTGAGCTATTCGAGGTACATCAAAAGCAACTCAGAAATCGCTCATGATTAGGAGCTCTCTTACCCCTACAGGGTGTCTACTCAATCTAAGGAATCAAATTCCCTGAGTTTTCCAGGTTTTTCCAGGTCAGATGAAAAAAATTCCAGGTGCATACAAATTATACACATTATTATTTTATCTATTAATCCATCTGGAATCCCTTTTATGTACTTATTGATTTATGTTATTTTCGATTGTTCTAACTTGGGCGTTGGTACTTATAAGTCGGCACAGCAAAAAAGTTATTGAATATTACAGCAGAACAGATGCACATAGGTTGTTAAATATTAATTTGTTCAATTTATGTTTGGTAAATGCACCAATAGTGGAGGTACGTTATTACAATGTACTACTATAGCGGCTTAGCCATAAGCTATAAGCTATAAGCCACCATAGGAACACATTGCACTTAAGTACCTCCACTATTGGTCCTCCTACGCATAATTTGCGAAAAGAAATTATATCCATGGGTGTAATATTGTATTTGGTTTTTGCAATCACATTAGTTATTCATACAGTAACATGCATTACGTCAATCAATATTACATTCTTTTTTGGTATTTGTGCAGTATTTTTTCAATTCAAAAATATAAATACAAGAAAGGAACCTGTCTACTATTTCGATAAAACGATATATCAAAACTTTATAACAATATGCTTTCAAAAACAAAATATCATTTTGATAATATGTTTGAGTCCAACTCTGTTTGGAAGATCAAGACAGAATAAATCATGGTTTCACATGTCTAAAATCTCTTAAGGTCCGTTTAGACTATCTGATTTTGGTCTGATGGTCTGATTTTGACCGCCGCCATAATGAAAAATCTGCTCGAATTTACTTTCGACACACTTTGTCGAACCCCCCTGTTTGCTGGTGTTCACACTGCTTGCACATGTCGAAAAAACTGTCAATTCCAGAACAACATGTGAAAAGGGCATACAAGCTTTTTGTAAACAAACCTTCTTATGCCCTTTTCTCGCCGCCCATATGACACCAACGCAAACCTTTAACATCACCGGGTAGGGGACACTTTCCCCTTCCCGATGATATTGCTGGTTTGCGTGAGCGACCCTCGGTTGGTGAGAAAAGGGCCTACAAAGGTTTGTTTACAAAAAGCTTGTATGCCCTTTTCACATGTTGTTCTGGAATTTAGATTTCAAAACAAAACTGTATCAGGAATCAAAAGTAAATACTTCAATCATGAATTACCGGAAAATTGCTCTAGTTTCGGCAGACGTATTTGCTTTTATTATTTTAAATAAAATGAGAAAGAGAAGGTGAACTTTGTGGAGTAGGAAATTGTTGCTCAGGAGGAACACCGGCAGGGATCTGGGTCATGTTGTCCACCAAGAGCTGCGATATGAAGATGAAAATGGATTTCAAAACTTCGCCAGGATGTCGATACCAACTTTAGACAAGCTAGTGGGAAAAGTTCTCATGATTCCTTGAGGTCTGAAAATTTCTGTAACAACTCAATTCTGCAAGGTCTTCAAGCCTTCTGACGTCCCTGAAGTTTTGTTTCTGTTCTCCGGTAAAATTTTTTTAAAGATCAACAATCTTTCCTGACAATCTGCAAATGTCTCGGTAGTTCTACAGATTTCTTTGAAGTTCTGTGTGTTCTTCAGAAGTTCTGCAAATTTTCCTAAAAATCTACAAAGTTCCTGAATCCCTGAAGATTTAAGATCCTTGAAGATCAACAATTATCTCTGATGTTCACAAAATTTCTAATAATCTACAAACTTATCGAAAGTTTTTTAATTGTCTCTGCAGATTTTCATGATTCAATGAATAAATTCTTCTTAGACTGATGCAAAATTTGAAATTTTCGCTCCACGGTTTTCAAACGGTTTCAAATCAGGTCCTGATTAGCCTCCAAAAGTTTAAACTCATTTGATAAGAAACTGACTTGGCACAAACCATTTGAAGTTCATATGGAAATTACTATGGGAAAACAAAACTTTTTGTTCATTGTCTTTTAGCCTTTTTAAATATTGTACTGTTAACAAATTCTATTGCCATTCTTATGGGAATTTTTATCAGCTACAACTTTGCAGAAAATTGTTTTTCAGTCAAATGTCAAATTAAATAGTTATTAATTGTTTAAGGGATTGATAATCTTATGGCATGATCAAGCAACTGTTCTATGGGCAACACTGTATTCTGCAGTGTGACATAGTTGCCATGATTTTTGCCCTCTATTCTACGCGCCATAAACACCAATGTTGCCTGCTGAACAGTTGATTGAGCATAATCATAAGACATCAGTGAGTTGAATCATTATTAACTTTTGTTCTTTACATTTGATCGAAAAGTGGTCTTCAACAAAGTTGTAGCTGAGAAAATTTTCAACAAGGTCAGCTCTCGGCTCAGCTATCATTTTCTAAAGTAGAGTAAAGTGGTGAATTTTTAGATAGATATGAACCGAAATTATGGTTTCTCCATAGTAATTCCCATATAAACTTCAAATGGTTTGTGCCAAGCCAGTTTCTCACTAAATGTGTTCAAATTTTGGGAGGCTAATCAGGGCCCAATTTGGAACCGTTTGAGCACTGTGGAGCGAAAATTTCAAATTTTGCATCAGTCTAGTGAGCATATGCGTTTAGGACTGCAAATCAAATGTAAGTAATGTCAAAATTTGGTATTTGTTCGAAACATTTGAGTTTCATTTGAAATTTTAGAAGGAAAAAAAATTGTCACATGATTTGCTTTTATCACTTAGCTTCAGGCAACTTGCTTCAATCCGCTGTAATTTAATCCGCTTTTCATGACATCTTATTAACCTTCCTTCTATTGTTGAAATTTACAAACACAGACATAACAATAAAGGTATGTAAGGTAGCCACCATCCCTTACTCAGACATCAAAATCGAGGTACAAAGTTGACCTATCCAAAAGTGATCCATCAAAGTCAAATTTAAAACACCAAATGCACCTGTAGCAGCGAATCATTTACTAACTGGTTGATAGGAAGTTTGCGGAAAAAAAACACATCAATTGGCACCAACCAAACACCAGCAACAACAACAACAGTAACAGCCAAGTTTGTACAGTAAACGCATCATCGCGTGACGAGACGATGGCAACGAGAATGACCGACTAATAAGCAACCGAATATAATGAGCGTTTGCAACAAGGGGATGCAAATTATATCGCGTAAATAGAGAACGTTGGGCGACAAAACGCGAAAATTGAGGTCAAAGCACCGAAGAAATATTACAACTTGCCGAAGTAAAGGATGCAGGATTTTGGGGAAATTTTCGTCGAATCCAAGGTGTCGAGAGGATGAAAACAGAATGGATCCGAAGGAAAACTGTGCATTCTAATCTAATCAATAGTTTCGATCGGAGAGTATGCGAACATTTTGCATGACTGGCCATCACCGCAGTAGGCTGGCAGTCAGCAGAAACGGAAGGGTCTCAGAGTCAGAAGCAAAGAGTGAGAGAGAGAGAGAGAGAGAGAAAGTGAGATTGCGCGTATGGGTGCGAGCGAGAGAAAGAGACAAGAAAGTGCGAATAGCCTGCTGTTGTAGTGGGCTGGGTGAAAGAACCAACCAACAAGCCATTCAGATAAATTAAAGGAAATCTCCCACGCCTCAAACGGTGCGGAATGCAGAAAGAATATAAACTATTTTTTTTAAAAGGACGAAGAGCTTTTCTTTCCCAGAAGGGAAACTTACCTGAATACAAATGAAAAACCATTTTGCGATGGAGTTTCCGGAAAACTTTGTGCCCAATGTTTGATTTTCGCCAACACACTCCGGGTCTGATGGAATCTCTCACTCACGAATCGCCAATGGGGGATGATGTTATAGAGATGTCTCGCTATGCGGTAACAATATTGCACAATATCCGCCACGCACAGTAGGCTGGGTCCAGCACAGATTCCACTTTACGATTGGCAGCAGCGCCTACTCTGTCCCGGAACAAACTTCCACCTCAAGCTGCAACAGCAAAATATTTTCCAGCACACTTGGATATCTTCATTTCCGTCTTTTTGGATCTTGTCATTCGGCCATGTTTACATTTTACCATACTCCGATGTCGACGATGGTGCTCCAGTGCTCCTTTTGTGGAACCGTGGCCGTAATATCAATACACATACACTGGCGCATTCCAGTAGCACCCTCTTTCACAACACAACACCAAGAGCACTGATGGGAGCAGCAGCAGCAGCTAGCACTTTCATCTATCTGCCATCATTGGGCTTATACACAAATGCACTCGGACACGCACACATACACAGGCGCAGCACAGCAGAGGGAGCCACCTTAATCTTGCAACAGAGGGCAGTGAGCAGCAGTAGGACCGTCGAAGGAAAAAATCTAGAAATCGGGATCACTTTGAAATGCACTTTTCGACCCTCGATCCGGATCGATTCCGGCCAACTCGATCGCGATCGCACGCACCGAACCTTCACGCACCACTTGCACCAATTTTCGATCGCGTTCGAACGCTTGGGAAACACCTTTCGCGAAAAACTTTTCCTCTGCACACCCGCCTGAGAAAATTTTATTTCAAGTTTTTTGACACGACTCGCAAAAGAAGAGAGCTTCAAATACCTACCTACAAAACTCACACACGAACAATACAAAGTTTTCTCCTCTGTTTTCCCAGCGAAAGTATGTGAGCGTGCAGTGTGACTGTGGCGTTCGCTGACAGATCGAAAAGATCCAGCAGGGCTGTTTGTTTTGCGTGGTAGTTTCCACATTGCTCACCATCCAAACAGAGGCGCTGCTGTTTTGTTTTGATTATCCTCATTCGGGGAAAAAATCTGATTGGAACTGAGTCACTTGGACGACAACAATAAAAATAATTGGCGACGAGATGAGAGCCGGAATCGACTCGGTGGAAGCGGCGGCCGTCTGCCAGACCCGACCCTGGACGGACGATTTGAAGGTGTGTCCCCATACTGGAGTCGGGGAAGCTACCAACCAGACGTACAGGTGAGTTGGAATTCGTGTTGGATTTCGGGTGGAAAGATCGTGTTAATCAGCTGTTTTCTATTTTAGGAAGGATGGCAGCCGCATTGAGGCTTACAAGTCCAGGGATAAAAAGTGCCTTTGCATTGTGGATGATACGTAAGTTTTTTTTTTGTTTAGACGGTGTTTCTAAACCTTCTGAAATCTCGCTTATCGGTGGAATTAGAACAACTTTAAGGAAATACATCTCTTTTAAGCCTCCTCTACGCCATCTACTCCGGGCACAATGGTGTCCGGGTGGCGGATTTTGCCCTGCAGAAAATGGCCGCTGACCTGCTGCTCGGTCAGCTGAACGGTCGTTCCACGGACGAAGCCGTCAAGGACGTCATTCGCCAGGCGTTCCATGCCGTCGAAAAGGGTTACATCGACTCGATCGATGTAGAGCTTGCCACACGAACGGCTCTTCAAATGCAACTATCTGACATTGACCTCGGTCAGTATCAGATTTCGCAAGAGTTTGGCAACGTGCTGCAGAAGCTGGACAAACTCAAGCTGGAGTTGTCGGTGGGCAGCAGTGCCGTGTTGGCGTTGATCTACCAATCGAAACTCTACATCGGAAACATTGGCAACTGCCGGGCTCTGCTGTGCAAGACGGATGAGTTCGAAACACTGACCGTAACGCAGCTTAGCGTCGATCACAATCTCTGCAACGAGGAAGAGGTTCTCCGTCTATTCCGACTGGGACTGGAGGCTCAAAACTTTGAAAACTGGCCTCTGTATAGTACCCGATGCATCGGGAACTACCTGGGCAAGAACGGGTACAAGGATTGCGACTTTCTGTCCGATGCCTCTTCGGATCCGGTTATCTTCCAACCGGAGATTGTTGGTTCGGTCCCGATCACATCGGCCTGTAAGTTCCTGGTTCTGATGTCCAGTGGTCTATGCCGCGCACTGCACGATCTCTACCCGGGCGATACATGTTACGGTAATCGCAATCTAGTCCAGATAATCGCCGAAGAGTTCCAGATGCAATCTACCCTGGCCGGGGTGGCCCAATCCGTAGTGCATAGGGTTGTTCAACTGCACCATGATGCCTTTATGCAGCAGGTTGACGAAGAGAGGCCAGCAGCTTTCTCCAACCGAGACGACATAACGCTACTGATCCGGAACTTCAACTACCACCTTCCGAATGCGTTCAACAATAGGAAAAACAGCAGCCGGTCGTTCACGTCGACTACTTCGGCATCCTCATCGACGACCAATTCGGATTCCACACCGACGAACCACAGCTACGGAACCGAAATGGACTGCTCCGGGATGGGCACGAACGTGTCCGTTACCAGTTCGGAAAGGTAAGTTCCACTGGAAATGTCTGCGAGCGCATCTTAAGTTTCGAATCGTTTTAGAAGCGAAAACGACAACTTCCCGGAATCTAAAGATGAACGCGTCAAATCGTACGTGGACTTTTCGGATTATAACCGCCGCGTTGCGGAGGCACGCAAACTCGGAAAACTCCCACCCAACATGGCCTTCGATTAACGACAGGATGATTGTTTATTGCTTGTTTTGTTCTATCATAAGAGTTTGTATAGTAAATATATCTATATATAGCACTAGGATGTAGTTGTAATATCTATTCGGTACCAGTTTCGAACCTTCCTCGACCATCATCAGGACTTGTCAAACTGCCAGCTAAGCCACTGTATCAGCCGTTCGTAGTGCTTCCGGATAAAGTGTCGCTTCTCGGTCTTGGCCTGTTCGACTCGATCCGCTTGGTGGCGCTTCCAGGCAGCGTACTGGCTGCTCACTGAAACCTCTTCCAGTTCATCGAACCCGGAAGCATTGTACCGGGCCAGTTTCCGGTACACCTGCGTCGTCCGGTCGTCATAGAACACGACCGTAGTGTTGAGTATTTTGTTCAGCTGCGACAGAGGCCAATCGAACCCAATCACCCGCAGGGTGTCGTTGGCAGAGGCATCGTTTGCCAAAGGGACTTCGCGCAGCAAAGACTCGTCTTTGACATGGCCTCCGCTTCCGTGTTGGTGCACGGAAGGGTTATCACTTTGGAACACGACGTACGAGTATTTGTCGTAGGAGTTGTTCTCTTTCGGTTGATCGTAGTGAATGTGGATGGCGGGGATTATGATCTTCAACGGAAGAACCAGCTCCGGGCCCGTGGGGGTGAAATTTGCAAACGGATCGTCCTCGGAACTATCGGTCACATTGGGCTCCGTAATGTTCAACGATTGCATTGAGAGCGGTTCCTCCGATGTTGTCACTACATCGGAGTATTCCTCCACGGGCATCTCTTCGCTTTCCGTAGATTCGTCGTAGGGGGAGACATCTGACGCCACCGGCATCGGCGTAGTGCTCGTAGTCGTCGTGACCGTTACCATTTCCGTTATGTTCAAAATAACCGGCGGAGCCTTGGAACTGCTCGCAGTCGGGGTAACATTCAATGACGGCTGTAAGTTCAGCTGCTCGAGCTTCTTCTCCGGTAGCGAAGCGTTGAGAAAATTGTCCACCTTGAAAGAAGCACACAAATTGAGCGGCACGCAGATAATTATCAATCAATCGTGAGAGACTCCATTACTTACGTCGCACTCGCCGCAAGGTCGATCGTACATCGTGGACAGAACGGCCGCCTTGACGTATGAGTATTGGATTAGACTCCACGGCGGTTCGATGATGTATGCTATCCGCGAGCAGCGATCCACCACGTACACCTGAAACTCCTTCAGGCCGAACATGGCGAAGGTACCGTTCTCGTTCAGCGGGTTCGGATAGACGGAAATGTTGTAGCCGGCGGCCACGCTGGTCACATTGTCCAGGAAGTCTTCGAACTCGGCAAATTCGGTCTCTTCCGGGTGCCTGCTGGGAGCCGCGCCAAGGATGAACTGCACGTTGCGGTAGCCGTTGTTTTCGAAGCGATTGAACAGGTTGTGAAATCTGCGAATGGAAGGGTGGTGGGAAAAAAGAAGACCAGCGGCGGTGAGGAAGGGCGAGGTTAACGCTATGTGATTGATTATGAGCGGTGAGGGATGCAAGAGCCCGGATAGCTCAGTCGGTAGAGCGTTGGACTTTTAATCCAACGGTCTAGGGTTCAAGTCCCTATTCGGGCGGGTGATTTTTTTTTTTTAATAAATGTACAGCCAAATGCACGGCCAATGATAATCAAAAAACATTAGGCAAATTTACTCATCGCTGAATTCCTGCACTTTATGCGATTATTGAGTAAACTAAACTCAAATTTGGGTCGTTCTCATTGGCCGTGAGGATTGTTGCGGATATCCCGGATATCCGCATCCGTAAATGCGTAAGAACCGAATGAAAATGTACATCCGGTTCCGCATTGTGCCCTGCAGATGTCTTGCGGATTTTTGAAAAATGTTGTACTTTAGATCTAAGAGAAGAGGAGACAATACGGGGGCGAAAACGAACCACTTTTCTGTCAAACGCGAACCAACTCGTGATTGGCTGATTTGTAGTGCGTAAAATAGAGATAGAGATAAAAGAGTAAGAAGCCAGTTGTCTCCTCTTCCTCTTAGGTTTAGATCGGTAAGAATATCTCTGATAGTAACTCGCTAGATTTAACGTTTGTCGGTGCGTTTGCTGTTGCTTTTGATAGCCAATGCAACCTGTTACAACTCTACATTGAATAAATTCTACAAAATAGTTTCGCTTAGCTGTAGCAATGCAAAGAGAAAATCGATGAAGAGAATCGATCATCGCGTATAGGCCCTTATGCATGCTCACTGTCGAGTTGTTCGGAAATCTTCGGAATGTAATTAGTTTTGCTGAACAATTTCCATTCGTGTGACATGGTGGGCTGTTGCCGTTCTACTGTTTTACTCCGTAGTCCAAGGGGGACTACTGTTGAGGATCATCGTAAGGTTCTTGTTCTGGATCCTTTGGAGTTTGAGGGGATGGCACTTAGTACAGCTCTCCCAGATTGGCGTTCCGTACTCAATGACGGGGAGAATGATTTGCTTGTGGCCGGTAAGCTTGTTTTAAATGGACTTTCTGTTGATAAAGTGGGTATAGCGACCTAAACAAGATGTTGTACTTGTTGGATGCTTTGTCCACATGGGAACGGAACAGCAACTTGCTATCAAGGGGAGACCAAGGCAGACGACGTCACTCGACCATTCAATGGGAGTATTATCAAGGTGGACTTTCAAGTTATCAGGCGGGACAAGCCGAGGTGAATTGAAGAGTGGAAATAGTATGGTCTTTAATGCTCTGGAATGCCGGGGATGATCTCATAGGCAGTGACCATTACCCACTGGTAATCCAACTCGATGACCGACCGCAGGACACATTACGTAAACCACGATGGAAATACGACTAGGCTAACTGGGTCTGGTTCCTTTTTCAGAAGTTCGTCCACGCTGCATGGTCCAATTCAACACCGGGCAGTATCCAAGACTTCATTAGCTTCATCCATCAAGCGGCACTTTCACCAATTCCACGAACCAGTCCCAACCCGGGATCTAAGTATCTACCATGGTGGTCCCCAGAGACCAAAGCAGCAGTTAAAGCCAAAATGAAGGCTCTTCGGGCTGCTAAGCGGCTACCTTCGGACCATCCGTCGAAAGAAGCGGCCATGGCCACCTACAGAGCAAAACGCAACGAGTGCCGACAAACTATCCGGTCTGCCAAGAGTTCAAACTGGGAGCAATTTCTGGACAGCATTAATGCTGGCCAGACGGTCAACGCATTAAGTGGCATACGGAAATGCCGCGGAATGGCCATCCGGGTAGATGGTACCATCACTAGAGACCCTGATAAGATTGCCCACGCTATGGGGGAATATTTTGTCGTGTAAAAAACCAGAGGATGAACTACCGCTGGAGATTAATCGGCCTTTCATGCCACGGGAACTCGACCTAGCTCTATTCAAGGCTACCGGGAAATCGACTGGCCCAGATGACGTCGGGTACCCCATGCTAAAATACCTATCACCGGAATGCAAGACCACACTCCTCAGACGGTACCGGAACCTACTTCCCCACTTTGAACCAGGTACTTCGAGACGCGAGAGATTCTGACCAGCATGCTGAACTCGCTACGCTAGACATCTCTAAGACTTATAACAGGACATGGACACCCGACATTCTTGTTCAACTCACGGACTGGGGTCTGTCGGGCCACGTTCTTCATTTTTTGAAGAACTTCCTCCGGCATCGTACTTTCCAGGTATGCATCGGAAACCATAGATCAAGAGGATTCCCAGAGGAGACTGGCGTCCCGCAAGGTTCGGTGATCGCAGTCACGTTGTTTCTAATACGGATGAACGGAGTGTTCCACAGCTTACCCAAAAAATATACATCTTTGTGTATGCAGACGACATCGTCTTGGTGGCGGTCGGCTGCACAGTGAAGGCCCTTTGCAGAAAACTAAACGTGGCCACGAATGCAGTTCTACACCGGTTGGAAACTAACGATTTAAAATTGGATCACTACTTGACTAGCCTATTGGTCCCAAGCAAATCGATTAACGTACCCCATTGTAGTCAAAATTCTAGTACTACACAACGTTTGTTTTGATTCGCTATGAAAGTTTGACAGATAAAATGAGGGGTTCATGGATTTTCCTGTGTTTTGGGGGGTGCATCGATTTGCTTGGGACCGAAGAGAGTACCAGAGCTGAGCCAAAAAGTTGAGCACGTTTTTTCGGGACCTTCTGGTCTTAGAGTTACCTCTATGGTTCTACGCTGGACCAAATCCGTCGGATTCTACCTCTCGATGGAGAAATGCGCGTATACCCACATTTATCCGTTCAATCACCAGGTGCTCCGCTATCCTATCAGTGTCGACGGAAGGATCATGCCGTTTAAGAAGTCTATCCGCGTCCTCGGCATACGCCTGGATCGGCATTTAAACTTTGGAGACCATTTCAACAAAGTGAAAGGGAATTGCCAAACAAGAATCGGCTTGCTGCGGACATTAGCCAGGAGGCATCTAGCGAACAACCGTGCTGTCCAGATGCGCGTGGCTAAAGCGGTAACCGATTCAAGATTAACATACGGTATAGAACTGACTTGCCTAGCTGCCGACAGGATGATTTCCCAACTGTCCCCGGTATACTATCAGGCCATTAGAATCACATCAGGTCTCCTCCCCTCCACCCCCAGGCTTGCAGCTTGTGTGCAGAGCGGAAGGTTACCCTTTGACCAATGTATCGTTGCTACCGTTTGCAAGAGGGCAGTTGGCAACTGGAACAAGTGATGGAGTGTCCCTCCTTATGGAGGCGAACAAACTCCTGAAGGACGCCGCCGACCTGGAACTCTCCCCGGTAGCCAGGGTTCACTGGTGATGAGCAAGGGGTTGGAACTCACCCGGACTTTCTATCGACTTGGTGATAAAGAAAAGATTCCGGGCGGGAACCAACTCCCCCGCACTAGTGAAATCGGTGGCCGAACTACAACGAACCAAGTACCCAAATCACCTAGCACGATACTCTGACGGATCCCGAACTGGCGGAAGGGTAGGTATTGGGATATCTGATCCGGAGTTACGCACCTTCTACCGACTTCCGGATCCTTGCAGCGTTTTCTCTGCTGAAGCTGCCGCCACCTCGCCTACCAACAAACCTGTCGCCATATTTTCTGAGTCGGCCAGATCTTCAGTCCGATACAGCCAAGCACCCTTGGATCCAGGCTATCCAGAAGCTCGCTCATAAAGGAACAACTTTCATCTGGATCCCAGGGCACTGCGGGATCAGAGGAAATGAGGAAGCCGAACATTTGGTGGCATCCAAAAGACAGACAAACCTCTATACTCAAAAGGTTCCTGACATCAAGCGGTGGATCGTGACTAGCTGGACAAATGGATGGCTGCCATCTCAAGATCTTTTAATCCGGAAAATTAAAGGGGACACCAGAAGATGGGATGATCCGCCTGAACACCGATCTCAAGTAATTCTATCGCGGCTGAGAACCGGTCATACCAAAGCCTCTCACAACGTGGGAGGCGGAGGTCCATTTAGGAAGCAATGCGAGACATACAGTGGGGCATTTCCTATGCAACTGCCCCCAGTACTACCATAGAGGTAACTCTAAGACTAGATAGCTAATCGATTCACCCCTCGAAACATAGGAAAATCCACTAACCCTTCCTTTTATCTGTCAAACTTTCATAGCGAATCAAAACAAACATTGTGTAGAACTAGAATTTTGACTAGAATGGAGTACGTTAATCGTTTGTTTGGGACCAATAGACTAGTCAAGTAGTGAGTCAATTTGAAATTGTTAGTTTCGTATTGATTGTTGGTACTACGGACCACGCATCCAATGCGAGATGTCAGCAAGCGTCAGGGACACCCTGAGTTATGACCCCTCTAGCACCACAGCGCTCTTCTCCTTTCTGAGGGAGACAGGATTGATCAACAAAAATTTGATATATGACCCAATATTGATCCAAGCAACGACAACGGACAGAGGATTGAACTACTATTGGCAACAACCAAAGACTCAAAAACGGACGAGCGACTATATTAAGATGATGCACGAATAAGGACACGAAAACGGATGATGGCACAAAATTACGCACAGCGACAACAATGGAAGTGAACACGGAAAACTACTGCACATAAAAACAAAATGACCACAATAATCGGACACAAGACCAAGCGACGACAATGGATTATGACAAGGACCAACTACTAGACACACCGCAAGTTATCTGAATATCTGCCAACAAAATCAACTCCGTTATTATAACTCTGTCTAATACAATTGTACCCTTTACACATCAGGGGGGCCGCTCTCTGAAGCCCTCTATCCCTGTTTAAGTGACGAACCAGCCAGTGGCTGAAAGTCACTCTAATTAAAGAGCCTGAATTTATAAAGAGACGACATCTTATCCATTTGACAGGTCTTTTGCTCGATTGGAATGACTTTTCGTATGACTTTGACAGATAGTCGATTGTTCCAATGTTGACATGTC